CTGCACTGGGACTTCATCAAATGTTAAATCTGTACCCAACTCGATCTCTTCTGGTTGTATAGCATGGGAAGGATCCACTTTGTACCTCTTCAGCATACTAACATGAAAGACATTGTGGATTTGAGATATTTCTGGAGGCAATGCCAACTTATAAGCCACTGGTCCAATCTTCTCTGTGATTTCATATGGTCCAATATATCGAGGTGCAAGCTTTCCTTTCTTACCAAATCTCATCACCTCTTTCCATGGTGACACTTTGAGAAATACTTTCTCACCCACTTCGAAATTAACTTCACGCCCATTCGTGTCAACATAAACTTTCTGCCGATCTTGTGCCATCCTCATACGCTCCCTGATTTCCTTGACCTTATCAACTGTGATCTGAACTATCTCTGGCCCTGAGATTTGTCTTGCTCCTTCTATATCCCAACATAATGGTGTTCTACACTTCCTCCCATAAAGTGCTTCATATGGTGGAACACCCAAGCTACTATGGTACTGATTGCTGTAAGCAAACTCAATTAAGGGCAAATGGTCAATCCATGATTCCTCCCATTGCATTACACATGATCGAAGTAACTCGTCCAAAGTTAGGATGGTTTGTTCACTCTGGCCATCTGTTGGAGGATGATAAGCTGAAGTAAAATGCAGTTGAGTTCCCAAGGCATCATGTAAACTTTGCCAAAACCGAGATGTGAAGCTCGGGTCTCGATCAGAGACAATAGAAATCGGCACACCATGCAATCTGACGATCTCCTTAATATATAGTTGAGACAAGGTCTCCAGTGATGGTTTCCATCTAATGGGTAAAAAGTGAGCCGATTTGGTCAGTCGGTCCACAATAACCCATATTGAATCTTTTCCCCTTGATGATGGGAGACCATATACAAAATCCATTGTGATTCTTTCCCACTTCCATTCTGGAATTGGAAGTGGTTGTAGTTTTCTCACAGGAGCTTGATGTTCTGCCTTAACTTTCTGACATACCAGACATGTGAAAACATGTTCAGCCGCTTCCTTTTTCATCCCACGCCACCAAAAATATGGTTTGATCGTGTGATACATTTTAGCTGCTCCTGGGTGCATAGCATAAGCAGAAGAATGAGCTTCATCTAGGATCTCTTTCCTCAAGTTATCAATATTAGGAACACATGCTCTTCCATTTATCTTCAACATGCCATCTACCATTTCAAATGGGCTTTCTTTTCCTTCCTCAATGTCTTGAATGATTTTTGCCAACTCTGGGTCCACCTTCTGCTTCTCACGAATTTTGTCATGCAACAAAGGTCGGATATTCAACCGAGCTAGTAACCCTGTTACACCATCCACTTCCAAATCAACATTCATTGCCCTCAATTCAACCAGATCATTTATATTCTTCTTCCCCTTTCTGCTTAGGGCATCAGCAACTACATTAGCTTTGCCTGGATGATAATCAATTGTACAATCATAATCTTTTAGAAGTTCAATCCATCTCCTCTGGCGACTATTTAAATCCTTCGGATCCATAATATACTTCAGGATTTTGTGATCAGTTAGGATTTTAAAAGTCTCACCATACAAATAATGTCGCCAAATCTTGAGAGCAAATACCACCGCTGCCAACTCCAAATCATGAGTGGGATAATTTACTTCATGAGGACGCAATTGCCTAGAGGCATATGCGATAACTCTTCCATCTTGCATTAACACACAACCCAATCCTTGATACGAGGCATCACTATACACCACAAACTCTCCCTGATTCGAAGGTAATGCAAGGACTGGTGCTGTGGTCAATCTCTTTTCAGTTCATCAAAACTCTTTTGACATGATTCATCCCAAACATACTTGGTATTCTTCCTCAACATTTTAGCCAATGGTGTAGCTATTTTGGAAAATCCTTCGACAAACCGCCGATAATAACCCGCCATTGCAAGAAAACTTCTCAACTCCGACACATCTTTTTGGTGGAGCCCAACTCACCACTGCTTCCAGAAATTACATGTCCCATAAATATTACCTCCTTCAGCCAAAACTCACATTTTGAGAATTTTGCATATAATTGTTTCTCCCTTAGAATTTGCAACACAATTCTAAGGTGAGTTTTGTGCTCCTCCTCGCTTTTAGAATAGATGAGAATATCATCTATGAACACAATCACAAACTTATCAAGATAATCATGGAAAACTCTGTTCATAAGAGCCATAAATACCGCTGGTGCATTACTGAGTCCAAAAGGCATTACCAGGAACTCATAATTCCCATATCTTGTTCTAAAAGTTGTCTTTGAGGTCGCTCCATCTGCCACTTTCAGTTGATGGTATCCAGATATTCATGGAAAACTCTGTTCATAAGAGCCATAAATACTGCTGGTGCATTACTGAGTCCAAAAGGCATTACCAGGAACTCATAATGCCCATATCTTGTTCTAAAAGTTGCCTTTGAGGTCGCTCCATCTGCCACTTTCAGTTGATGGTATCCAGACCTCAAATCAATCTTAGAAAATAATGATGCACCCTGCAATTGATCAAACAAATCATCTATTCTTGGAAGGGGATCACGATTCTTCACTGTCTCCTTATTCAACCTCCGGTAGTCAATGCACATTCTCATGGAGCCATCTTTCTTCTTGACAAACAAAACCGGTGCACCCCAAGGTGAGAAGCTAGGTCGAATAAACCCCTTGTCTAGCAATTCTTGCAATTGTTCTTTAAGCTCCTTCAGCTCAATTGGTGCCATTCTATATGGTGCCATTGAAATTGGTGTTGTGCCAGGTACCAATTCAATATCAAACTCTACTTCCCTTTCTGGTGGATGGCCAGGAAGTTCTTCAGGAAATACATTAGGAAATTCCCTTACTACCTCAACATCCTCAACCTTCTTCTCATTTACAACAGTAACTTGAGTAAGAAAGGCTTCACAACTTTCCTTCACTAATCGAAAAGCTTCCAAGGCAGAAAGAAAACCATGAGTCTCCTTTTTCTTAATGCCTCGGAATACAACAGGACCTTTATATGGTGTGTTGAATAATACTTCTTTCTTTTGACAATCCACAACAGCTCCATGTGTTGCCAGAAAGTCCATTCCAAGGATGACATCAAATTCATCAAAAGGTAGCAGAATTAAATCTGCTGCTAGAAAAGCTCCTTCCACACAAATGAAGGAACTTCCAATAACTGAGTCTACCTTCAAGGTATCTCCCACAGGTGTTTTAACACATAAGGTATAACCTAGCTTATCTGGAACTAAGCGTAGCATATGTGCAAATTTATATGACATGAATGAGTGAGAGGAACCAGTATCGATCAAAGCATATAATTGCTTGCCAAGGATAGAAAGCATACCAGTCACAACTTCTGGTGCCACTTCTGCCTCACCTCGAGTCATCGCATAAACCCTCGGTGCTCCCTGTGCTCTGGCACCCTGCGTACCACTTCCTGATGGCTGATTTTGACCACCACCTCTACCACCCCGTGAACCACCACGACCACTCTGAAATCCACTACGGCCTCCCTGGTAACCACCCCTGAATGGGGCTCTACTAAATTGCACTGAAGGCTCGGACTGTGTAGCTCTTACTTCTCTCAAATGCGGACAGTCCCTCATGATGTGCCCAGGTTGGCCACAGTGAAAGCATACACCAGAAAATCTCCTACACTCTCCAAGATGCCTCTTCTGATAAACTTGACAAAATGGAAATTGTGTGGCTGAGGAAATTGGTGCCCTTTATGATATTCTCGACATAGATTGACTCGGTGTTCTCCCAAAACTTCTAGGACCCTTCCTTGATGGATAACGAGGTGCAGAATAATTTACTCCTAACTTCCATTTTCATTTCTTCCTCCTTCCCCTTGTGTTCCTCTCGACCCTCAACTTCATAGGCTTCATACTTGAGTGCTGCTTCCTTTATAGTGGCCATCCTCTCTTCATCCACCCTGTGGATCTTTTCTTTCAACCCTAGGCGCAGCCCATGCAAGTATCTCATCTTCTTCTTATGCTCAGTATCCGCCAACCCATCTTCAAAGTGAGTAGTCGAACAAACTTGATGGTGTACTCAGTAACTGTCATATTCTCCTGCTTAAGGTTGGCGAATTCATTGTTCTTTGCCCTAATAAAAGCTTCGGGAAGAAACTCTGTCTTAAAGGCCTTCAGGAACTCCTCCCAGGTGAACTGAACTCGTTCACCATTAACTCTAGAGACTGAGGACCATCAGCTCCTCGCGTACCCCTTTAGGAGAAAAACAACATATTGCACTTTTTCCTCTGGGGTTGCATAAAGATAATCAAACACATCTTCCATCTCTCTCAACCACTCTACTACAGCATCTGGGCTCACATATCCCTTGAAGTCCATACCACCCAAACTCTTCATCTTTGCATAGTCTAATACTGGCGGTCTTGCATCAACTGCCCCCACTCCTCTCGACTGGTCAGTAGGAACATTTTCACAACTTCCGTGCGAGCTACAAACACATTCTTCACCCACTCTCTCACTTGGTTAAAACAAAATTTTTCCAAAATAATTACTTGAAAACATAGAAGTTCAAAACTCAATTTTGAAAACCATGATGGAGATAATTTCATCCAACATACCAATACACATAATCATGTCAAACTCAATTCCCAGTTTAAGTCATTATGGGGTACTCCCCTCCTCAGGAGTGTTTAACCTCCCATAGGGTATAGTACGCCATAACAACAAAAAGAGGGAACCGGGCTCTGATACCAAACTGTAACACCCTGCCCTATACGTTTTGCCTAATCATATTGTTCATACAATTCCAGCGGAATTAATCTAGGGTGGTACATTAATTATCAAAATTTACCCAAATATAATTTTAATATGAATTACTCGAGTAATGGGCTAACAGTTCTTGCAACTTATCCTGCAAAATAATTCATCACAAACATATATACTCACAACCATATGTATTGGCTTTTCTTAGCCATAGTCACACTTTTCATACTCCACAACTGCATACCATACTTATACATACCATAATCAACACAACTTACACGGTTACACAACATATACACATATCATCAACTTTCCACACCTGTGGATATCTCACACTACATCAGAAGCTAGTATGCACATGAAAAACTTTCTCAAAACATTTTTACAAAAAGGTGTGGATCACTGGCCAAAATCCCGAGTAGTCGTCCAAGCACAGAATAGTTGAAGACCATACCTCATCTTGCCTTCAACTCTTGCTCAGCTCCCACCTATACACCTATCTATTGATGCTGATGATCTGCTTACACATAGCATAAGCAGAGGAAAAGAATAAAAGAGGGTCAGCTCATGGCTGAGTGAGACAATCATTGCATCGTGAGTTCATAACAGAGCATACCCCTACCATACATCTAGCAAACAAGCAAAAGCACTAGGATCAGACCTCAGCCATCCGACATCCCAATAGGCAAAAGACTCAACCATCTTGACTTATGCATATGCATCTTATCCTGTTTTACTTATAGGCGCGTGGCTACTCCCATGCTAATAACTCTCCCGGGAAACATACCCCACATCCCGTCGGATGTAGTCATACATACCCCAACATCCCGTCGGATGTGGTCATACATACCCCACACCACTATGGGTGTAGTCATACCCCGACACCGCTCTGGGTGTGGTCATATCTCGTAAGAAATCTTCAGTCACCACCACATGAGAGGTGTGACTATCATACATATCATAATAGAGTAATAGCATAGGGAGCCCTAATTACTATGTAGTTTACCGTGAGACCAAAGTACTCTTACTTGATATCCTTATACATGATCCATATCTCATCTTGCTTAATCATAATTCATTACTTAGACATGTTCTTGACCTGACCACAATTGGCTCAACATAACCAGAATCGTATAATTCCACTTCCTCGGGATAAACCCTCGTGCAAGTCATCCTCCTTAAACATCATAATATCACCTTGGGAAGTTTATTTCCCCCACTTGTGAATCCAAATACAACCACATTATCACATCATGTCAAAACACCTGATCGAACAACCATGAAGTCATATCAACGGTTAAGCCACAAATGGCAACATGTATGCAATCATCAGCATAAACAAGCTCCATATCGATTAGGGCAAGTCAATAATATCATACGGCAGTCCAAGGTTCAAACAATCGAAGTAGAGGTACATAGACCTACCCGGGTTGATATTTAAACATACTTGCCCTATATTGCACCCAATTAAAGTTTATACTTGGGCCTTAATTGAGAGTTTTATTGTGATATTCGGGACGATTCAAGTGTTTGGCGCCGTTGCCGGGGATCAAATGGTCCATTATTTTGAAAAGATTGTTTGGTGTTAGTCTAGCTTTTACTTTTTGTTTTTGTGTGTTTGAATCTTGCTTGTGTTAGACGAGTTGTGGTTCTTCTAAGTTTGTGTCGGATGATGCTTGACCCGAAGTAATCTGACACCTTTGGCGCCAGTAGACGAGAATCTCAACCGCACTCTTTGACTCTTGGCTCATGAGAGGGAGCTAGCAGAAGCAATAAGAATGATAGAGGAGAGGGGACAACCACAAGTTGGTCCCAAAGTTGAAGAAGTTGTAGTTGTGGAAGAAGTTGAATCCGAAGAGGAAGGAAGTGAAGCCGAGATGGCGGCTAATCAAGTAGCTCAAGCGGGAGCCGAGGAGAGGAGCAACCGCGCCCATGGGCTACTATATGGCTCCGCAGGCGGCGAATATTTAACCTACTATTCGGCATCCACTCGTGGCCGCCAACAATTTTGAGATCTAGTCCGCCCTCGTCACCATGATCCAGAGCAATGCACTATTTCATGGGCTTAGCAATGAGTCTCCAAAGGAGCATGTCTAGAGGTTCATTGAGGTTGAAGGAAGTTTAAAGATAAATGGGCTTCCGGAGGACGCTTTGAAGTTGAGACTACTCCCCTACTCTCTTGCAGGGAATGCGTCTCGGTGGCTTAACAATAGACTAACCCTCTTAATCACCTCGTGGGTTGACATGCTCAACAAGTTCATGACTCAATGTTGTCCTCCTTCCAAGACGGAGGAGAGGCACAAGAAGATCACTCATTTATAGCAAGAGGAGGATGAGTGTTGAGGGATGCATGGGAGAGATACTCTAATTACTTCCTCCAATGCCCACGCCATGGATTCGAGGAGCAATTTTGGATCAAGACCTTCTATGACGGTCTCCACCAAGAGAACAAGATTCTCATTGACTGTTTATGTCAAGGGAAGTTGATGAACAAGACTCCCCGAAGTGACCGAGTTGTTCAAGGACATGGCAACAAAAGGGTATGATTGGGGTTTGACGAGGAGTGGTAAGAAGAGTATCGAAAGAGGAGTACGAAGTGTGGGAGCGAGTACTCCACTTGAAGCCAAGCTTGACCTCTTGATTGATGCGCTCCTAGAAGACAACAAGCAAGGGAAGTAATCGTTGATGTCTCGCGATTGGTGTTCTAGTACCAATCATGAAATTACGAATTGTCAAGTAATGAAGGAATCAAGAACCCCCGAGGAGCAAGTGAGTTTCATCGCCAATGCTTGGGCGAACAACCCTTATAGCAACACTTAGAACTCGAGGTGGCGAAATCATCCCAATCTCTATTGGTCCTCTCTTACCAACCCAAGACCCCCTGTTTTCAAGGACCGACGTGAAATTACCAACCAATGTCTTTTTTCATTCAACAAAGGTCACAATTTCAAGGCTCAAACTTCCAAAAACCATTCCAAGCTCAAGGCGGTCAAGGGTTCCAACAACAACACGATAAGTTTCCAAAGGTTGAAGACCTAGTGACCACCTTCATGAGCACGAGCACTCAAAATTTTGAGAAAATTGAGCAATTTATGGATGTGGCAACAACAAAGTTCACTTCCGTTAAGGCACGAATGAGGAGCCATCAAGCAAGTCTTCAAAACTTGGATGGTGCACATTTCATCCCCGTTTCCCTTGGGCGTTTGTGGCATTTGTGCTCCTTAAAGGATGGTTTTACACTAGGTTTCTTGTGTTTCAGTGTGTTTCAGGATCTAACAGGTGAAACCAGCCCCAGAGTCGAAAGTTGGAAGAAAAGGAGCAAAGACCGGGCAAAGAGAGTGATTTAGGCCATGTTCACGGTTTTCCATTGGAGTTCACGGTCTCCTAAGGCCGTGAAATAGAACCATAAACCATGAACCCCGAAGCGTCCAGGGCGGTTTCAGAGGTTACTAATGTCGATTGAGTTCAAACTATGAACGCAAGTGAGTGAAGCGGTGCGTTTCGACACAGAACTCTGAGTTCACGGACGCGTTGAGGAGTTCACGCACGTGAACTAAGCCCGATCCCAGTATATAATGTGAGCTGAAATGAAGAGAGAGGGGAGCCCAAGTATGAGAAAGCATCTTCTTCTTCAGATTTTAGAGAGAAAGGATGAACCAAAGAACAAGGGAGGCTAGGGTTTGCTCCAAGTGGTGAATTGGGAAGAATCTCCCCAAGAGAAGATTAACACAAGATCAAAGGAGAGTGGAGGCATCACCAAGATGGTTTCTACTTCTTTCTTTTGTGTTCTTCCCCTTTCTAGCATGGAGTAGTTTCCTTTTTCACTTGGGTGTTGTGAAACCCTAACTATTTGCCATGTAGTTGTTGTGTGAATTGAATGATTGTTTATGGGTGTTGTTTAATTTAATGATTGAGGTATTTTTCATGATGATTGTGCATGTTTGTGCTTGGCAATCTAATTGGCCATTCTAACCTAGGTTAGAGGGGAAACTCGCCTTTTCCAAAGAGGCTCAATTGAGTTGGGATTCCTTGTGCTTTTCAAGCCACCTTGATTCGGGCCTAATTGCACACATTTTATCCCCCATTTCCCTTGGGCGTTTGTACCATTTGAACTCCTAAAAGGGTGGTTTTACGCTAGGTTGTGTGCATTTTAGTGTGTTTCAGAATCCAACAGGTGAAACCTGCCCCGGAGTCAAAAGTTGGACGAAAAGAGGCAAAGACCTGGCAAAGAGGGTGATACATGCGAGGTTTACGCGTTAGCATTGGAGTTCACGGTCCCCTATGGTCGCGAACTGAAGCCCAAATCTGTGAACCGCGATGCATCCAAGGAGAAATCTGTAGTTACTGGCGCGAGCGAGTTCACGGTCAACAAGACCGTGAAGATTGAGGCCAAACCGTGAACTCGTGATGGCGAAGCGGTGAATTTCGACATCGCGCATGTGTTCATGGACATGTTGAAGAGTTCAAGGCCGTGAAGTGAGGCCGTGAACTAAGCTCGATCCTAGTATAAAGAGTGAGCTGAAAGGAAGAGAGAGGGAGGAGAGCCCAAGTGTGAGAAGTGTCTTCTACTTCAGATTTTAGAGAGAGAAAGGACGAACTAAAGAAGAAGGAAGGCTAGGGTTTGCTCCAAGTGGTGAATTGGAAAGAATCTCCCCAAGAAAATATCAACACAAGCTTAGAGGAGATTGGAGGCATCACCATGATGGTTTCTACCTCTTTTTCTTGTGTTCTTCCACTTTCTAGCATGGAGTAGTACTATTTTTTCACTTGGGTGTTGTGAAACCCTAACTATTTGCCATGTAGTTGTAGTGTTTCTTGAATGATTGTTTATGGGTGTTGTTTGATTTAATGATTGAGGTATTTTTCATGATGATTGTGCATGTGTGTGCTTAGCAATCTAATTGGCCATTCTAACCTAGGTTAGAGGGGAAACCCCCCTTTCTAAAAGAGGCTCAATTGTGTTGGGATTCCTTGGGGTTGACAAGCCACCTACCTAGGTTAATATAGGGCAAACCTCTATCTTGAATTAAGAAACTAGGTTAATCATGATTAAGTCATCCAACCATTGGTTTGAGGGAGAAGGTAAGTCTACCCTTAATTTCCTTAACCAAGTGGGCTACTCTTGTAGCCTATAATGCATCCCTTGGTTTGGTAATTGAGAGTATGGTCCTCGACCATAGTTGCACCTCCTAGGGGTTCATGATTGCCTTGCCCATAAAGTCCCATTCGAGTCCACGTGCCATGGTAGTAGTTAGGGGGAAGTGACACCCGAGTGATCCTTCTCATCTAGAGCTTTCAAATCATTTACCTTTGCTTTGTTTTGATTTAAATCTCATAGTTTTCAACCATAAACCAATTCGCTAGATAATGCTCAAAACAAGGGAAGTAGGGGTACACGGGACCATGAGTTGGCAGATTGTCAAGCAATGAAGGAAGTAAGCACTCCGGAGGAACAATCAATTTCGTTGCCAATGCTAGGGGTAACAACCCGTATAGCAATACCTATAACCCCGGGTGGAGAAATCATCCTAACTTTGCTTCGTCGTCCCCGACTAAACCCCGACCCTGGCTTCCAAGGTCCTACGGGAAATTACCAACCTCGGCCAACCTTCATTGAACAAAGGCCACAATTTCATGGCTCGAAATTCCAACAACCTTATCAAGTACAAAGTGGACAAGGGTTTCAACAACAACAACAACCCGACAAGCTATTCAAACTTGAAGACTTTGTGAATACCTTTGTGAGCACGAGTGCTCAGAATTTCGAGAAGATTGAACAATTTATGGATGTGGCAACTACCAAGTTTACCTCGATTGAGGCAGGACTCCGAAGCCATCAAGCAAGCCTTCAAATTTCGAGGTGCAAATCGGCAATCTTGCTCGGATCCTCACCAAGAGACCAAAGGGAGCCCTACCCTCTCAAACCATTGCCAACCCCAACGATCTAGCCGGTCACTCCGGGAGTTGTTGCTAAGGAAGTGATTGAGAAGGAAGACTACATCCCCAAGGATGGAGATGAAGAGCCCTCGAAGGGATAGAAAGAAGTGGCAATGAAGGCATCGCCAACGCCATCTCTGGTCGTCGAGTACAAGCTACCTCTTCCTTTCCCCACAAGGGTGTACAAGGAGAGGTTGGAAGCGGAGTGTGGGGTCTTCATGGAGATGCTCTGAACTCTCCACCTTAACATCCCCTTCCTGGAAGTTATGGCTCACATGCCAAGGTACGCAAAGTACCTCAAACGGTTCCTCACCAAGAAACTAAAGTTTGAAGACCTCACCAATGTGACTCTAAGCGAGGAATGCACGGGCTTCATCCTCAATCGGTTGCCAAAGAAGCGACCCGATCCAGGTAGCTTCACCATCCCTCTTTGGAATTGTAACCATCACATAGAAAATGCCTTGGCGGATTTAGGAGCAAGTGTGAATGTGATGCCCTATAAGCTATTCAAAAGGCTAGACCTAGGTGAACTCAAAACCACTAAGCTTAGTGTCACATTAGCCGACTACTCGGTCATTGATCCAAAGGGCATTGTGGAGGACATGCTAGTACGAGTGGGCAAGTTTTGCTATCCGACGGATTTTGTGATCCTTGATATAAGTGACGACTCAGAAATTTCTCTCATACTAGGACGTCCTTTCCTTGCCACCGCCAAGGCGTTAATTGATGTTAATAAGGGGACCTTGATTCTGAGAGATGGTGAGGAGAGGATCACTCTTTAAATTGAACCTAAGGCTAGGAATGAGGATGTGAAGGAATTGGTGTCGGATGAGTTGAATCTGAGTGGAGGAGAGCTTCTCAAGGCAAACCCCACTGTTACTTGTGTTGCTTATGATGATGTTAAGCAGGAAGTTAAGGAGGGTACTATGCCCAAAGAGAGGAAGAAGAAAGCTAGGAGGGAGAAAATGAAGCAAGCTTTGGCTCGAAAGAAGGAGAAGGGCAAAGATAAAGTTGTCGGCCAAGAAGGCCAACCCATGAAGCTTAAGTTAGGAGGCTACATGCATCGCCCCGAGAACGTGGCAGATCCACTCTCGATGGCATCATGTTCCAAATCATGATAGATCCGCAACCTCAAGCTAGTGACGTTAACTTAGCGCTTGTTGGGAGGCAACCCAACGGAGGTTTGTTTTCTTTTTCTTATTTTCGTTTTTGTGTTGAGCGAAGAGTTCAAGTGGTCTAGTGGTATCCTCGTGCCAAGTTTTGTGGTTTTGCATTTTAAGGTTGTGCTGTGATCGTTAGGAGGAACGGTGCAATAGGTCGAGTCAAAATTTTCTCAGAAGTGCCATATTTTAACTCGAATTCACGAACGGATTTGAGTGTTCACGGTCTTAAAAGACCGTGAACAAGCAAACACGTCTGTGAACCAGACACTTCTGCATGTGAACCACTTGTCGACCATCCCCAGTTCACGAACGGACTTGAGTGTTCACGGTCTCTAAGACCGTGAACAAGCCAACATATCCGTGAACGCTGTGCTTCGTCTATAAAAGGGGCGTGAACGGCGACTCTTCACTTAACGACCCAAAACTCGCCAGAAAATTCAAATTCTAGCCAGAAAACTATGAAAATCCAACGATTTTTCAAATTTTCACCCATTTCCGGCGAGCAAAACCCAAAACCAACTGCATACCCATTCTCCCCTCATCAAAACCGGCCTGTGCTGCAATTTTGGGGAGATTTGGGGCAAGTTTTTTCAGCAAAGTCGCCGACGACGAGTCTCTGACGAGCTTCCAACAAAGCTCCGGCGACCACTCTCCGGTGTGTTTTTCAGCCATTTTTCGCCTTCCTCGTCCGCACCTCACTTCCTCCTACGTCTTACTTGAGTCTCCTGGTTGGTTTTCCAGTTCTACCTTGTTTAATTTGGGAGAATCGGATTAGGTAGTGAAGTGAGTATGATTTTGTAGTGCATTGAATGTTGAACCTAGAATTAGGGCGTGGAATTAGGCGAATTAGCTTGATTGAATGTTGAAAAGTTGCTGCATGAGCTTAGTTGAGCCTTGGTGGGAATTTGGTTATTTGAATTGCTTTTATTTATCGATTTTGCCAACCAAGTGCTATTTGTTGAATGATTATGTATGTTGGTGTTTGATTGGTGGTTGGTAACCGTCGTGGCATGGGTTGGGGGTTCGAATCCTTTTTATTGATGAACCGTGAAATACCCACAACCATGCCACGATGGGTTGAGCTTAAATGTTTTGCAATACATAGTGGAGATATGTGCGTGGGGATTACTTATTCCTCCCAATGAGTTGTGCTTAACGAATATTTCCACGTATGGTATTTGTTTGCCAATTTTTGCAGGATGCTTAACGAGGAGCATGAGTTCATCAGTTACCTTGTGAACCATTCGCGGTTTGGCGACAAGTTCGCCTACCATGGCCACAATGTCATGGGTCGTCTGTCACCCCTAGTGGCGCGA